ATAATTGAATTACTTGGACATCGCAGTGAATGGAGGAAAGGAAGGCAAGAAGAACTCTTAGGGGTGGAGGGAGGGTCACACTTTCTTTGCATCCTGAAACTGCAAAACAATCTCCATGTGATGAAACCCGAGGTGGGAGTCATCCCTGACTGTGGCAGATCCTTAAACACCAAATATAGCTTCTGAACTTTGTAGGGAAAGGTGTTGGTATTTGTGAAGAGTGCTTAATATGAGAAGAGCAGAATTTTATTTCTGTGCCTAATGGTGTCACTTTGATCAGAACTTGTGTTGAATTTTCTTAATTTTGAGGAAATAGTAATTATCAACATATACTCGGACAGGAGCCAGTGGGGTGGTGGTTCAGCTGCCAGAGGTCCTGGACAAAGGCTGTGGTTAATTGCCATTGGGGAGCGTCCTCTGTGGGAAGAACCTAAAAGAAAATGTTTACTGGTAGCAGCCACCACGATGAGGACAGGGTTTGGTGCACCTTATCCACGTTCATGTCTCCCCTTGTATCCAAGCTCCCGAACAGCCCACAGTGCCCATCCTCAGGGGTCTCAGTCTTGGAAATGTCTGACTTCCCAGGGCTCCCAGCCTCTGCCTCTGCTCACATTCTCATATTTAATCTTTTCATGCCAGTTTGCTGTGCTGAGCCCATCTTTCTGTAAGGAAACACCCCAAACATGACACTGTTTCCCTTTTTAATTGCTAAACTCCACCAAGAGAAAAGTCATTTAGTCTCCCTCTTCCCCAAGAGAAAAAAAAATATTTCACACTGTTTGGGTCATTCAAAGGGTGCCTTTAAGAATGGCCTACTCCACACTGCTCAGTCCCCACCCTTCCTCCTTATTGTGATTTTGACCTGACTTCTTTCAGAGGAGCCCTGACTTTAGCCTGGGGGATCGTGAACATCTCCAATTGCATTTCCCTTGCTCCCTGAATAGGTTCATGATTTGTTATGTTTCTGATGTAAAATCTAAGTGACAACTTGATACAGACAGGAGTTTATGTTGTTTCCTTTGGGAATGACCCCAATGTGTTTTTGAAGTCGCTTTAATTGTGGGACATTTTGATCAAGTTGATCTGACCAAAGATTCCCCAACAATGATGCTTTCAAGTTTTGTTTTATCTTTTCAATGTCAGGAACCAATAATCTCTTCCCTGTCACACACCCTTGGCTATAACTGACCCTATTAGTAAAACTCAATCAGTGTTTGTGCAGTGAATCAATGATTGACTCCTCCAATCCCCTCCCCCCATTTATTCCCTCCTGAATGAATACCAGATTCAATCAATTCACCTGGTTATAGGCAAAGATCCAATCAGGATTAACCTGATGGACAGTCTGGAATCCAACCAGGCATCGCATTCTGATTGGATGGCAGTAGTTGCAAAGGGGGAAGATGTGATTAAAAAGGCCTATAAAAGCCTCAGGCACCAAAGAAGATATGCAGAAACTTCTTTCTCTGGAGTCACTGCCTGGGTTCTCCACCCCATCTGAGGTCTGAGCACCCTGTCACATCAGAGCTGGTAAGTTACAGACCTCAGCTAAAGACACTCTCATCTTATCTATGGTCAGCAGGTTTTGAATGATGGCATGTAGCTATGGATGGCAGGGAGATTTTTCTTTCTCTTCAGATGTACAAATGTAAGGCTTTGATTTTGCCTCTAAGTGTAATTTTGCCTTAATCCCAAACATCTTGATTTGTACTTTGGTTTATATCATTTAAAAATCTCTTAACCAACCAGATTTTATTTTTTAATGAAAACATCTGTTTGGAATTTTATTTTTTTACATTAAAAAGCCTTAGTTTGCACAGGGACTTCCCTGGTGGTCCAGTGGTTAAGACTCCACGCCCCCAATGCAGGGGGTACGGGTTCAATCCCTGGCTGGGGAACTAAGATCCCTATGCCTTGTGGTGCGGCCAAAAGATTAAAAAAAAAAACAAAAACATTTAGTTTGCACAAATGGCATTCATTTTAGGCATATCTGCTTCATCTTCCCCAGTGCAGTTAACTGTGGAAACTGAGATTGGAGACTGTGTTGGGCCACAAGATGCTCCTATTCCCATAGTTTTAGGGTCCCAAGTGGTGGTCTGAAAGGTTTCCCCCAAAAAAGACTGGGGTCAGCCTTCAGGCTCATGGTACCCACTTCCCAGTGCAACCTAATTGAGCAAAGCAGTGAATGGAAATGGATGGACGAGTGGTTGGGTTTCTTCCTCCTTGGTACTTGTGAGAAGCTTGTTCTGGTGCCCACAAGGGCAAAGCTATGGCTTTTGGGCCCACTGAGCCCAGAGTGGAATTCTGCGAAACTGAGGCTCTTCCACCACTGCCAGAGCAGTGACTTTGGCTCTGAGTTGGTTCTTCTGAAGGGTGGGGAGACCGAGTAAGGGGTGCTCATGCTTAACCTGAGAAAGATTCCTTGTTCCCTGAAAGTTTCCACAGGACTCCTTTAGGAGCAGAGTCACGATGAGTGTCCAGAACCCCCTGAGACTCCTGGACCTGGCGGGAATGAGCTTGCTGAGGGATGAGGCCTCGACCATCACGGCTCTGAAGGATCTGCCCACAGAGCTCTTCCCCCCAGTGTTCATGGAGGCCTTCTATGGGAGATACAGCGAGACCCTGAAGGCCATGGTGCAAGCCTGGCCCTTTGTACGCCTGCCTCTGGGGGGCCTGATGAAGGTGCCTCATCTGGGAACCTTACAAGCAGTGCTGGCTGGGCTTGATATCCTGCTTGCACAGAAAGATCATCCCAGGTGAGTCTGATCAAGGGAGCCTAGTAAGGTTTTGGGCAGCTCTGAAGAGAAAGCTGAAGTCAGGAGAGTGGATGGACAAGGGATGGAACAGAGGCTTCGATGATGCCAATGAAGAGACACAGAGACTTGGCCATTGCTGAGCTCATTTGGGGAAATGCCTTCCAGCAGTGTATGAGTGCCTAAGATGCAGGGGAGCCTGAAATTACATGTCTCAGCCAGGGATGCGTAAGGGTAATAGGTGTAGAAAGCCAGGAAGGATGGAAGGGGAAAGGAGATGGAGGAATGTGAAGCAGAGAGGGAAGAAGAGGGCAAGACAGCAGGTGATGTCAGGGATGAGAAGTAAAAGCTCGGGTGGGTAGTCTGAGTGTTGCCTAAATGCTGAGACTGTGGTTTCATTATGTGTGGATCTTAAGCCATAGCTGCCAATCTGCTGTTTTCCCACAGGAGGTGCAAACTGCGGGTGCTGGATTTAAGAAATACCAGCCAGGACTTCTGGAGAATGTGGTCTGGATACAGGGTCCATGGATGTTCAAGCTCACTGATGGCACAAGTGGCTGAGGACAGGTCAAGGACAAAACAGCCCAGGGCTCCCTTGGAGGTATTCATAGAACTTCATCTCAAGGAAAGGACCTTGGATGGATTCCTCACCTACCTCATCAGGTGGGTGGAGCAGAGAAAAGCTTCCATACACCTGTGCTGTAAGAAGCTGAGGATTCTTTCATTTCCCATGGAAAATATTATGAAGGTCCTGAGTATGGTACAGTTGGACTGTATCCAGGAGGTGCAAGTGAACTGCACCTGGCATCTGTCCACCCTGGCCATGTTTGCTCCTCTCCTGGGCCAGATGAATAAAGTGCAGAGACTCCTTCTCTCCCACATCCACGTCTCTGCACTTGAGAGGCAGGAACAGCAGCACGTTGTCCAAATTACCTCTCAGTTCCTCAGGCTGCACCACCTCCGGGATCTCCATCTGGAATCTCACTCCTTCCTTGAAGGATGCCTGGACCAGATGCTCAGGTGAGTGTGCACCATTGTTCAGGTAACAGCAAACACAACACTAGAATATCCAAAGCACTGTCCCTTTTGCTTGTCTATCCTGAACTGTGGTATCACATAACCATGCAAATCAAGGTAGGGGCCCAAACTGGGATAGAGCCTCTAGAAAGGGACACCCTGCTAGGAAGCTATGGACTAGGGGTTAGGATCTAGTGGTGTGGGTATATGATTTCTTCTTTAGGAAGAGATAGCTTGGTTTAGATGAATTAAGAAAATAACTAAGGGAAGGGGGCATTGAAGAGGGAAAACTCCATCAGGCCTTAGCATTTCTAAATGGAAGCTCTGTGCTCACCAGCGTTGTGACCACAATGAGCCTATCTCAAATTCCCTGTTTGCAAAAGGTTGTTTTTTCCTCCTGATAAGGTAATTAATATATGGATAATGCGTGGTTCTGGAGATGCTGGTAATAGAGCAGGAGCCTAAAGCAGAATAAAAACTGGTAGATGGTTTGCAGATGCAGGAATGTAACTGAGCCCCTGCAGACTGGCAACCTCAATTGATGTCCTGAGATCTTGCCCTGGTGGGTCCACTATGCACATCACCCAGAAGCCTTACCTGGCCTGAGATATGCGTGCCTGTGACCCAAACGTGGGCTGAAGGAAACCTGAGTAGGAAGCATTTTATGCATGTATCTTACTATTAAAATTCAGTGATGCCCACTCTTTACTGAGACAAAGTGTCAGGCTCTCCCCTGAGCGTGTTCTAGCGTACTCCATTATCTTCGTTCATCCTCATAAGAAGTGTAGTAAGTTTTTGTCTGCTTGACTCATGAGGAAAGAGAGCTTTCAACTTGACTCAGTCACACAGGAAGGTGAAAGGACTCAGGATAAAATGAGACTGGGCATTCTGGGTATTGATCGTTATCA